TCTCCTTCTGCCCCAAGCAAAGACAAGGTTCCTATCTCTCTCCCCTGTGTATTTTTGCCTCCATCAGGTTGGAAGCCTTCTTATCTTCCTCCCATGGCTGGGACTTAAGAGAGGGCTGTTGGAATGCCTGTGTCACCACACAATACCAGGCAACAATCCCTCTGACTGCTAGATACATCTCAGCCTGGCAACTACCTCTCACAGCCCATTAAGCTGCTTTCCTGCTTGCCTACTAGCTTTCACACCACCATTTCACAAGCAAGAGACACTTCATTCAAGGTGTTCAAGGAGTTGATGGCACATGGGCATCCGAAATTCACTGCAGTTTGAACTTAGGGTGGAGTTGCCTCCTGGACCACAGAACTGAGTTTATGGTTGCAGCTGTCAACTGCCTTGCTTCTATTTAGGATTTTGCTGACCAGGTTGGGTCCATAGTGTCTCCATGGCTTAAGGTCAGGCCAGAGTCAATCCCACCAGCAGTGCTGGTGTGATGGGCGACTGCAGTTGGGAACCCCTGAGATCTCTGCGGGTCACAGCAGACTTGGAAGGGAATCCAGAGGTACTGCTGTGTCAGCAGTGCACAGCGAAATCATAGAATCATAAAATATCCTGAGCTGGAAGAGACGAACAAGAATCACAGAATCTAAAGATTATTGCAAAGAAGTTGTGTTAGAAATTAAATTTCAGGTTTTCTCTAATGAATGCAGGTGCCAACGAGACCCTCATGAAAGACATACAGAAAGTGAAAAGATGAGAGTAACTGAGCAGCAGGGAGACTTTGGGGAACAGTGTGGTGAATGATGTTATCAATTTAGCATGAATTTCAGTAGACAGGCTGACACTGCTGGGGGAAGTACAAACTCCTCTCTTGAGCTGTGTCTGCTTGTCCTGTGCCACCTTCAGCTGGGACCTTACCAGAAACACATTATGCAGATGCCACAGGTGTTGGAAAAAGAACTGTTCCCTGAAGTCTTCAAATGTCATCAAAGTGATCACTCAAACCAGAGCACAGCCTGTGAGCCCTGTTCATCCACCTCTGCAGCCATGGCCACGATTGCCATGTCATGCAGTGACCAGACTTCTCTGTGTGCATCCCACACTGTGATATTCTCCGCATGGGAGGATTTGAACGACCTCACTGAAATAAGGTGCGAAGAGCAAAGCCACCAAAGTGGGGATTTGTGTAGCCAACATGCAGCAGAAATCTCCATCCAGTCAGAGGTCTGTCCTCCCAAAGCAGCTGCTCTTGGTTCCCTCTGACCTCTCAGGCACATTCCTCCAGGGACATCAGCAAAATAACTGAAAGAGATAATTACAGCTTTTAGCAGCAGGATTTACAACTCGTATCTCTGCTGAGCCCCAGGGATGCACCCATTTCTCTGCCCAGGCCCTTTGCTGAATGCCATAGCATCCAACATGCAGCGTCCAATTCTCTCCATCCTCTAACTCTGAAAGATGCAGTGCCAGCTGTTCTGATGTGCCCTTCTGTCTCCAGGAACCACCTCATATTCCTCTCAAAGCCTTAGACCCATTGCTCCCAAAGTACCATTCTCCCCCCCTACCAGCTGTACCATGGGAGCTATAAGATAATTCTTTAGGAAAAGATATGAATCCTCATCCAACTGCTCTGGCAGCCCTTAGGGTATCAGCACAATGTCCATCCCCTGCCTCCAGTGGTGCAAAAGACGCAGAATGACATGAAGCCTTTGCTGGTATGGGCAGAGAAGGGTATCCGTGCACTGGCCACATTTTTGGTTTTATCTTTTCCTCATCAAAAATGAGCTTCCACAAGAGCATACAATAGCAGAAGACTGCAGCCAAACTGATTTCTGTGGCAATTTCCTGTGGATTCCTCAAAAGATTAAGGATGGAGGACCCTCTGAAAGTCCCCATGCCAACCTCCTGCTCAAAGCACTGCAAGGCTTGTAACTCCAGCTGTCACAGGAATACCAGTGCACAGAAAGGCATCTATCAGCCTGTGCAGAAGTATGGGTTGGGGAAAACCCATCATTTCCTGATATTTCTGGGGCTAGAAATTATGGTCATTTATCTTGGTGCTCTGCTCTTTTCTGTTATCAGACCCCCAGGTCTCTGCTCCAGCAGAGATGCCTATGACAGCGCAGATCCATTTATCTTCTCCAGGAAGTTTCCCCCAAAAGGAACCCAAGGACCCTGCAGGTGAGCACCTGGAAAGACGCAGACACCTCAGATTCCCAGAGATAAAAGCTGCCATTAAAAAGGCATAAACAAAGGGCATCATGAGCATTTTGCCACGTCTCCGAACCGGAGAGGAGGCAGAAATAACCTTTACACAATTCCATTAGCATTTCCAGTGAAAACAACAGCATTATAGGAGGGAGAACAATGTATTTTCTTATCATCCAGAAAGGCCAAAGGTATTTGTCTGATTTAATATTTTATAATTGATATTAAGCAACAGAAAGGATGCGACAGGCAGGCAGGAGACAGCTGCATGGCAGAAACTGCCCTCTGCTTTTCCAGCGGTGTGCTGTCCAGGTCAGAGCACAGCTGCTCTTCTCTGCAGAAATCCTCACAGAAAAAAGGATTTCTCTCAAGCCCAGCCGTAGGGACCCACATCCAAAGGCAGGCTCCTCCGTGCTCACCGCGCTGCTACTTAGTGCTGTGACAGTGCCACGTCTCTGCAGGAGACAATGCTCCAACATCTGCAGTCCAAAGGGAGGAAATAGCTTCAGCCTGCCTGTGGTCATCCATCCTCCCATTGGAGGGCAGGTGCTGATGGGCACCAGCCTAACTTCCATGTCCCCTGTGGTGGGAAGAGACAAAATGGAATACTGTGGAGAAGAGATGCTGTGGACAGGCATAAACAAGCAAGAAAAGAGGCAGGAGGCTCAAAATTAGGTGGTGACACCCAGTGGGAAACAAGGCAGCCAGCACACGTGTCAACATCCCGCTAGCATGGCACAGCACCCAGAGGAGCAGCAAGCCTGGACCAGAACACCTTCTCCATGTCTATTAACTCAGTCTCATGGTTGTGGTCAGGTTGGGATTGATCAGACTTGCAGCTGTACCTGGCAGGACCCCCTTTGCTCCCCGGCTGAGCCTTCCAGCAAAGGCACTGCAGTGGGTGCCAGGCATACTCATATATGAGGTCTGCAACTACTTTCATAAGTACCTCGTGTTTTTTATCTCCATTAAAGAATAGAAATTAGGTCATTCTTTGCTGAAACATTCTGGAAAGTCATCGCTGAAATCTCTCACTTGCTTCTTCCATCTGTTTATTTCTACCACTTAATAACACGTCTGTCTCATCAACCATTCCTGACACTGTGGCAAGAAAATCCAACTTGGCGAAGACAGCTTTATCAAAGAGACATTTGCTCATCGTTGCTGCGTGACACCGCATCAGCACTTCTTGTGTATACGCAGTCTGGCCTGCAATTTCAAAGAGTGCCTTCCATCTCTTCGAGGAGGTGATATGACCAAGGCATTTGAAGCTGTTGATTATTATGCAAAAGGTTATCCAAACTGTGAAGATAAGAAGCAACTTCAAGCATTTCAAGGAGTCTCATTTGTTTGGCGATATATTCTCTTCAGTGCTACATGATGTCATGGGCCCAATTTCGAGTGATTAGTAACAACAGCAAAGCAGTCACTGAAATCATCTCTGATAGAAGAGAGAACTCTGCAACCGTACGAAGAGGCTGTGCTGTCAGTCATTTTCTCAGCTTAACAAAGTCTGAGCCTGCAGGCTTCACCACACCACCTCCTGCCTTTGCTTTCCAAAGAGCTACCCAGGCAGTCTGCAGAAGGGGAACTTGATGGAATGCAGCTTGACCCTTTTAATTTGAGCAATCTTATGTTTATTGCCTTCATAATGGATGACCTCACTCACTCCTTTGCTTTAAATCCATTCTCCTGGCTTCGTTACTGAACAACCTGCTTCTTGGGGAGGCGTGAATCTGTACAAAAGTTTAAAACCAGTTGAGCTGAAGCAATGTCCCTGTTTTCTTTTTATTTTATGCATCTTATGAGGGTTGCTCCAAAAGTAATGTCTCCTGTTTTGTGATGTCAGCCCACAATGGCAGAGGCGCATGTTGATGCTGCAGCAGTAGAGGCTGAACCTTTGCACCAGTAACCATAACATATTGCTGCTGTGTGACACGGGGCAGCAGAGGTGGTCTGTCAGAATGGCCTTTCAAACACGGCTATGGTAGGAAAGGCCAGAAAGTAGCACGAGATTGGCAGGAGGCATGGAGAGTTTCAGCTTGTCAGCTCGACAGTTGAAAGTTAGTTAACAACTGAGACCAAATCTTGAAGAATCTACTGCCAATGGAAGTGTGCCAGGTTTAGGTATATATGCCAGCCTACATATAGCACAATTCTCAGCTGCACACCGGGCCCATGATTTTCCAGCCACTAAATAAAACAGACACAGTGGCATTTCCCTTAACTTGCACTGCCAGTTTGGGTGCGTTTCCTCGCTTTGCCACAAACTGCCCAGCAGCAGCCAAAGAGCAGAGCATTACTCCCAGACACTGCAGAATAAGCTGAGCACAAACCTTCCTCTTAACGGTTTTCCATTAGCAGAGAGGAAATTAAAAAGTGAAGATTGAACCCAAAACACCAAACATTTAGATATTATTATTTTCATCAGATTAAAGTTAAAACTTCAGTTAACTTGGTGCTTGTCAAAGACAGGGAAGTTATCACAGAATCACAGAACGGCCAGGGTTGGAAGGGACCTCAAGGATCACGAATCTCCAACCCCCTGCCACACGCAGGGCCACCAACCTCCACATTTAACACCAGCCCAGGCTGCCCAGGGCCCCATCCAACCTGGCCTTGAACACCTCCAGGGATGGATGGGGCATCACAGCCTCTCTGGGCAGCTGTTCCAGCACCTCACCACTCTCTCTGTAAAGAATTTCCCCCTGACATCCAAAGTTAACTGTAGCTGAGTTTTTGTAATCCCACCTTGCCTGCAGCTGTGCAGCTAATGAAGGAGCCTCAGCCTTCAATGGGTTTTGAGTCCTTCTGGAAGGATCAATCTATTGGGGTGATTTTCTTAGAAGTAGCATAAAATAACACACGCCTACCTGCACTGCCTAGCCATTGGATCTGTGCAGGCTTTGACTCCGTGAACAAATGCAGTGGGATAACATCAAATTTCCAGGTTTCTAAGCTCGGAGGTATCCTGCACTACTCTGCCACAGCCATACCACGAGCAGTGTCTGAAATGAGGGTGCATTCATGGAGATGGGTGCTCCTTCCTTCCTCTCCCCTCCTGGGAGAGCCCAGGTCCATTGCTGAAGACCAGACATGCATAGCCAAGAAAAGCACAATGATCTTGGATAAGTTGTCCATTCTGTTCTGGGTGACAGAAACACCAATTCAAGGGAACATTACCTGCACTTAACATTTATCCCACCACAGGATTTCCTATGTGAGGTAGGGCAATGAAGGCATGAACACCTTTATCCCCTCCTACAATGAATCCAGGCCCAAGCAGGAGTCACCATCAAGCCTTAGTATCTGGGCAAACAGATGTAGTACTTCTTTGAGGCAAGAGCAAAGTGCTGGCAGACCTGAAGAAGAAACCAACAAAATTCAGCTCCCAGTGTAGACAGAAAGAGGTAGACTGGAAGGATCTTCAGGTTGCAGAGGCAGACTTCTAGCAGAACTGGTGCCAGGGCAGCAGGCTTTTTGCAATTCAGCATTGCAATCTCAGCAGAAACATAAGGTCAACTGAGGTACATGGAAATGTGGTGGTAGGGCTGGGTTTGGGTCTCCTGGGAAATGCAGAAATGCTGCTGAGAGGACAGGTCCTATTTGGCAGTTGGGAACAGGAAGGAGACCTCCTAAGCCTGGCCCAGCCACCCCAGGGCCACCCTTTGCAGAGGAGATGAATAGTTGACAATGAATGCTGGCATTATTTTATCTACATTTCATCAGACATCATTTCAGCCTAATTAACGTCATCTGATCCATCTTCTAAATCCACACTTCAGTACAGGGTCACTTAAAAGAAACAATCCTCAGACGTAGAAGCCCAAAAGCTAGAGTTCAAAGCATAATGAACATTAGAATAATATTAAATCACTCCGGCAATTAGGGGAAGAAACAAAAACTATTAACTTAGAGCCACAAGAAACTGTGCACCAAAAACACCAGTAGTGTTTTATTTAGAAAAAATACAGTCTTGTTATGAACTAGATTACTAATTGCAGGAGATGACTCCTCACTTGCTGTAAGAGCCAGGGACGTGTTTTGCCCCGCTGGTACAGAAGGGTGTGCACAATCCCTCCCAAATGCCTGCAAACAATTCCTACTGACCTGTCTTAAGTTTCTGCTGGTGTTGACTTAATCTTTGGTTCTCCCTTGAATCAGTTTATTATTTTCTGGTTTGGTTTCCCTATCAGTCCATCTAATTCAAACTACATCCTGTACTTTTTTTTTTTTTTTTTTCTGAGCTTTACATTTTTTCCTAGGAGACTTTCTCAACTTCAGCCAGATGGGGCCTCTCTTCTTTCTCCTGGCTCTACTCACACCAACAATAAAAGCCTCCTCTGTTCTCTTTGGACTGGCTTCCAGCATTTGTAGGATGGTTTATCTGGAAGGAGCAGTTCATATTTTTCCATGCTGCAATAGACAGTTCCCACTGTGGACAGACACACTGCTGCAGGAGAACCAAAACTTACAAAATATTCACTCCAACCCTCTTTTAGAGCTCAGGAACTTTCCCCACCCCATCACCTTGACTTCTCAAGGAGTCTTTGACCTCCAAGATGTAGGATGGAGATCCCACACCTCAGAGGGGTCACTGGCCTCCTTTACACTGTAGGACTGCCCTCCCCTGCAGAGCTCTGCCAAAACCATTACTCAACAACAATCAGAGGGGCAGGCAGGAAGGGGACTGCGGCTGCTCAGGCTGGCCCTCCTCACCCACAGCTCTCCCGGGACGGCAGGTTCTCTACAGAAGGCAGTGCTTGGAGTTGCCTGCAGTGAATGCACATTGAGGCAGGCACTCTGGAAAAAATAGTTGCACTAACAATGACTTTTTTTGAGGTTTTTCCTTCTCCACCCCGGTCTTTTCCATCCCCTACACATAGGGGATTCTGTGTCAGAGGAACTCAAGACCACACAGGATCTAACTGCATCTTATGCCCATGTGTAACAGACTAGAAGGAGCATGCTTGCTTTTACGAGCAAGCAGTTTTCTTGCCCCGAGTATAAATACATTCAGTAGAAATACATAAACACATAATTTAAAACCTGCTTTGACACAGGTAGGACTTGCAAACTCTCGTGCAACCCCAGGGGAAAGCTTACACACTGATCCAGTCTGATCTGGGTCCCTTGGTCACTCCTTGCATCCCTTGCAGAAGTGGTAACAATCAGCAGTGGTGGGTTTTGAGACGGTGCCTGTGCTGCACTGCAGGACTGTAGTGTTTGTGGGTTTCTCAACACAGTTAATGCCGCAAATCCTGCTTTCAGGCACTCGCTTAGCAAACCCTGATTTGCAGAAAGTATAGAAAGTATCAGCCTGTGCCCTTGACTATAAGCACTGGTGGGTGCCATCTGCCAACACTATGACTTGTCGAGAGGCCAGGTCCTCTGCCAGACGTGACAACGACGCTTTGGTGATGTCTGCAGAAATTTCATCTTGACAGGGTGATCGCTAAGCCTGGAAAGCAGCTCAGTTCTGCTGCATTAACATCTGAAGGCTGTGCAGGACAGCTCCTGGAGTCAGGGGTGCTCCTGCCCTGGGCCAGCCCGCAGCAGGGCTGAGCAGAGCTCGCTCATGCTGCGCTCATCATTCTCCTCCGGCTCGCTGCTGGACTTGGAGGGGCTGCTGCTGGGCAAGCTGCGGCCAGTGCCTGTCCTCAGGGCCCCACTGGGGTCTGCCAGGGCTGGAGCGCTGTCATAGCTGGGCCGGGTGTAGTTCCTTTGGGTGAAAAACTGCCCCAGCAGCAATTTTGGGAGGATTTTCTGCAGGCTTTCACAAGTCCTCTGCTTTGTGCTCAGCTGGGTGTAATGCAAATCCAACTGCAGGACCACATCCGTCTGGAAGGAAAGAACACAAAGTGAATTGGGCAGAAGAGCTGAAGCAGAGGCTTTTGCTCCATCAGAACACTCCGTGGGCTCAGCTGCCATTCTGAAGGCTCATAGCCCCATGCTGTGGTGTGCCAGGGCAGTGCTGCTGCCTCAGGAAGTGAGCTGCTCTGTACATTTATGGCATCTACAGGCCGGAGCCACAGTTTCTGGATTTCAGGACTTGTCCTGAAACCAGGCCACCTCCCTGGAGACCTCACTGAATAAGTCACTGAGAGCACCGAGGCCTTGGGGCACAGGGAATGCCATGACATCCACCCTGGTCATCGTGTCCATCCTTGCCAAAGCCCAGCACTGCACACACAAGAGGAAGGCATGTAAGGGCACAGATGTGAACCACTTAAAGCACACATGCCACAGTACAAAAAACCTGACAGTTTCAAACGGCAGCACTCTGCAAGGATCCATTTGCAGTCCATCTTATTATATATGGTGAAAGATTTGGAAAATAACGGGCTTGTGGAAGCCACTCCCCTGAGTTTGGAGCCTTAGCATGGGGCTGTGCCCAAGATGCCCAGCTGTACAAAGCAGGAAGATGGTTCATGCAGCACAAAGGAGATTTTTCCTCCATGCCTGTCAGGCAACAGGGTCCAGCTCTCATATCAGCATTTAAAAGCTTGGGAAGGGTTCAAGGGCTCCAGAAACGGTCAAGTGCTGAAAGAGCTGTCATATGCTGAAGCACGTGTCCTACCCAGCTAATGCTGCTCGCTGTAGGCAGATCCACACAGCAGCTCGAGAGCAATGTTCAGGTGTGGAGCCCTGCAGATAAGCATCTGGCAAGACCCACTGGCTGGGTGCTAGAGGAGAAAAAACTAAGGGAGAAACAAGGTGCATGCTGCTATTTGCAGAGAAAGGACTTGCTGGAAGAACCAAGCCAGGGGACCAGTAATAATGCCTCTCAAGTGGTCTTTAAATGGTCTTGTGAAGAGTGCCAAGGGGGCATCTGGCTCAAGCTCAGCAGTACTGCTCTGACAGCAGGAAATAATCCCTCCTGCTGCTCAAGTCCAAGTCCATCTCTCAGGCAATCACAGTGCTTAGTGAGACATCCTTCATCCACAACATTTAGGTTACTCTGACCTCTATGAGGCTGCCACAGGCAAGGAACAGCCTCTCTGGCCAGGCACTGGAAATAGAGAGTGAGGCAAGAGAAAAGCAAGCTTTTGTGCCCACCAACAAGCTCAGCTAACACTGATGTGGGCGTGATGCTGACACCCCAGATGCTGGGCATCTTTTGCACGGAGCCAAGAGTTACATGGTCAGAGAGGGACAGCCAGCAGCAGGGGGAAGTACTGCTTCTGTGAGGCTGCAGGAAACTGTACTTGTACTCTACCTGAATCTTCTGTAGTCCACAGAGTTGGAAGACACAGTCCAGCTCCTCGTGCTTGTAAACAGAGGTGAGCAGAGAATCCATTTGGTCTGGGGGGCTCTCTTCCAGACTGGCAACATCGTCCACTTCCTAGGTCAGGAAAACAAAGGAAATGTGAGGAAATCTCAGCATCTCTCTGGGCACGGAGACACAGCTGCCCATCAAACATGCTGCTTCTCTACACAGCAGTGCCTGCGGCTGGCCTGTGCTTTTGACACTTGGTCTAGTGGCAATGTGGTGTACTCTAACTGAAGTACTACAGAACACAAGCATCAGGAATATAGACTTTACACACTTATCTCAAGTAAATCAGTGGCAAAACTTAGCTGAACACCCTCTGAGGGCAGGAAATCTCTGTTATGGGATTTCCAGTGGTGTAGATGGCAGCAAAAGCCAGTATCACAATGACCTGTAGTGTAAGAGGCCTGTGGAGGAGGGAGTAAGGAGCTTCCCAAAGGCATAGATGGAGGGAGATCTGAGTTGTGCTGGGTAATGAGTTAGCCCCTGCCATTTACAGAACTGTCATTTCCTGCCTAATTACTCAAATTTCTCCAGAACAGTTCCCTCTCACTAAGATCCTCATCAGTAACATTTGCGTCCAAGAACACCCCCTGAACTGCTGCCTGCAGAAGGCCAAAGCAATTTGTTCCTGGCCAGAAGAATACTGGCAGTGGAAGCTAAAATGCTGGATCCTAAACGCTGGGATTTGCAGGCATCAGAATCACCTTTGTCTGCAAGGCTGGAAGAACATGAGTAAAAGTCATTTATTTCACTGCTGCTGATCCAGCAGGTCCATTGGAGGGAGGCAGGCTGAAGAAAAGCATTTATCACTGTATAACGCAAAGTCAAATTCCATCTCCCCGCCTGGCAACTTGTTACTGGAAAGAAAAACTGGAAAGCATTTAGGATAGATCAGGGCAGCAAAATGGACCTGGCAAAAAGGGAGGTGGGTGTGCCAACAAAGCGCGGACACAACTCAGAGGGGGGTGGAGCAGCTGTCCTGCACAGGGAGCCTTTGGCCAGCCTGAACTGAAATGGGAGATAGACTGCAATGCAGAGCACTTCCTGCAAACAAACACTGCCCTCTCCTGCCCTCTCCTTGCTTGGCTCATTGCATCAGGTATCTGCTCCAAATCCCAAACGTGGACACTGCTATGCTGAGCCCAGTAGCTGGGTTAAACTAAACCTGCAGACAAAACAGAAGCACAAGGGAAGTCATCCTGGATGCCACTGATGCAGAACTTCAGCAGGACGCCTGCAAAAGGGAGCAGAGTGCTCCCACAGCACCCAGCCAGCTCCATCTCACCTGATACTGCTGATCTTGCACTGCAGTATGCACTTAGCTGAGGAAGGATGAGCATGCAGTCAGCACTGCCAGCCCCTCCCAGCAACAGGAAAATGACCAACTCTTAGAGTCAAAGGTGGTGCCTGTACTTCCAGTAGCATTAGGAAGGTGCCTGTTGAAGCTGGGGTTGGGTTGTGTCCCCTTTTTTCTCCTTGCAGGCACTGATGTGCAATGGATCAGATGACTTCTAAGTGCCTCCTTTTTGTAACTGCATTACCAGCCACTGCGAATCTTCAGAGATTAACATCACAGTTTGGTTCCAGCTAGCAGGGCAGGGATGCTCAGATCTGTTCTTGCACAAGACGCTCTTCTCCTGAGTGTCTGTCCATTAGTTTGCAATCGGACTGTGATGCCTTACTTTCATCCCAAGAAAAATTCAACACTATGGGTGTGACTAGCATGAATATAGCAATATTCCATTACGACATAAAACATGGTGCACGGGAAGCCAGGCAGCACCAGGAATCTGGATTGGGTTAACCATGTAGTGTCCCTGAATCCAAGCCAGTCCCAAGAGCTGAACAGCCCAAAGAGATGTGCTGCATTTCTCTGGCACAGACATTGGAAGGAAACGGTACCAAACTCAGCGCTTCAGCTTAGCAACACTGAGGAGAGCTCACACAAATCTGGGATCTCTTGTTTGTAACCTCAGCAGAGTTTTCTTCCCTGCTTTGGTTGCACCAGTGGCTGTGGACAACCACAACCACCCAGCTGTTTCCCCCATTATGCACAGCATAACTACTGCTTACTGCTGTCCACGTCCAGACCTTGTATCTGCTAAGTAACAGCCTTGCCATCAGATTGCATCTTTCTAAAATCCAATCCTGTCTTTCAGCACCCTGCACTGCTGTGCCACTTTACAGGAACCTGCAGGCATTTATGGACATGGATTAGATCCCCCTGAGACTCCCCTTCTCCAGTCTGAAGTCTCAGCTCTCTCACTCTCTTCATGTAGAAGAGATGCTCCAAGCCCTTCAGCACCTCCATGGCACTTTGTTGGACATTCTCATGTCTCTCTTGCCCGAGTTCAGGTACCTGGCTGTCAGGATAGAAAGCAGCCTCATAGTGACATCTGCTGGCTTCTTCAGCACTTGAGGGTGCATCCTATCAGGTTCCACAGACCTGTGTATGTCTGAGATCAATTAGGAATTCCCAGCACACTCATGCAGGCCTCCCTCTGCCTTTGCCTGCTTTCCTGTTCACTGGGATATCTGAGTCAAGAGGGGGATCCTTGAAAACACACCAGCTCTCCTCGACCTCTCATCTCTCCAGGGCTGACACAAAAAAACCCCAAAAAACAAAAAAATAGCTCTTGAAATCAGTGGCCTTCAAGATGGATATCTGGGCAAGGACTGACCTCATCTCAAGGAATCAATTAAAGTCTTGACAAGTGTGGTTCAAAGCTCCTTTGTTGACAGCAACTTGTTACCCACATGCATCTGCACAGGGATGTGGTGGAGTCACTGTCCCTGGAGGTGTTCAAGAGCTGTGAATATGCAGCATGAGGGACAGGGTTTAGTGGCTATGGTGGGGATGGAGTTGATAGTTGGACTAAATGATCTTAGAGGTCTTTTCCAAACTCAATGATTCTATAAAAATGGGAGGGATGTGACTGGGGAGGCCATTAGGTCAAACAGCTCCAGAGCAAGTGACTTGACTTCAAAATAAGGAGATCCAACACAGAAAGCAGACATTTGGACAGCACAGATTAAAAAATGGGAAGCCTTAGATCTCCATGTAATTTAGTTCAACTTATATCCTAAAACAGTCTTTCTCTCTGAGTACAGTCTGCCAAATGAAAATGCAAGATGAGGGATGGGAGAGAACGCCAGCACTACAAACTTAAAGAAAATGGATCAATGCTAGAAAACACCACTGTGATTACCTCTGACAAGCCTTACTGCAAGCCCACTCCACTTTTGTAGGCAGAACATGGCAAATGCAAAAAATGCCATTTCCTCAACCAAATATCTCCCTGGGCTCATTCCACAGGGCTTAAAACATACAGGAGCCAGGTGCCCTCCTACAGACACCCTTGCATCTCTGAGTTGGTCCCAAAGATGCCTAGGGTAGCCCTGCTGCAATTGGGGCAGATCAATTGCAACCCAGAGCCAGGATGTGCTGCCATGTCAGTACACACCACTGGAGGTCAGTGTGGGCCATCACCGCTGGGGAAAAGGACAAGGACGGCGGATCGATCCCACCTGCTCTCCTGGGTCCCTTTTCGGTCTGCCCCGAGTTTCTCCTGTGCCAGCCCTGCATGCAGAAGCAAGCCTCTGGGTCCCCCCTTCCCCACAAGCGCTGCCGTGGAGTGGATGTGCGCACACATGCACACAATTTTCATGCATGTTAAGGAGCTCACAAGGAGAAATGAAGAAATGATGCTTTGGCTTGGTGGCAGGTAGGATCGGACTCCCGACCTCTGCTGGACGCACCGCTCCACGCCAGTGACAATAAGGGATCTGAGGGCAGCACCACTCCACCAGCAACAAGGGCAGAAAGACCCAGTGACAGTCATGCTATCCTTCAGCAAAGGGACTACACAAAACGAGGAAGACTGTTAGCAAAAATGAGCAGCAAAAAGGGTTAAATCCTAAGAGATCCACCTAAGAGGCCACCAGAGCTCTTACAGGAAAGATTCACGGAAGCTGATATGGCTCAACACAGAACAAGTGCAGAGGATGTATTGTTTCATGGAGTTATTTCATAAGAGTGGGTTAAAACAGCATCATTCAAAAATCAGGTCTGCTTCCAAACACAGAAAACGGACAGGCTTTTCATCTCAATCAGATTAAATGCAATAATTCAATCAGGCAGGCCAGAAAGAAGCCTGAGAAATAACTGGTTAAAGGCTCTGAAACCGGTGCTAAATCCATTTCATAATGCTTTACAAGCCAGGCAGGCCACTGAGACATGGAGGGAGCATTTATAACGCACAGAGCACTTGCAGAAAGGCAGCCTTAAGAGTGGAGGGGATCCTTTTGCAGGTTCAGCCCTCAGGCTCACTATAATCCCCCTCCCTTTGCTGCTGCAGGGAGAACTGAGGGGAAGGGCCCAGCATCCCCCACAAAGGACTCACAGTGGGCTGGCGGAGCATGAGCTGTGCATCAGTGAGGAGGGCCGGGAGGTGCTGCAGCCTGGCGCAGACAGACAGCACGTTGGAGAACAGCCGGTGGAAGCGAAGCTCTGCCTGCACCCCACAGGGGAACGTCACTGTTTCGCTTGGAGGCTCTGCAAGGGAAGGCAGAGCAGGGTGAGAGGTGAGGGTCTCGCTGCCACCTCCCTGCCGGGTGGAGCCAGTCAGGGGCACGGGGTCCCTCTGCTCCCTCCTGCCTTGCCTGGCTGCTCCCCACACAGCTCACCGTGGCCGCATCCCCAGCGCTCTGTGGCTGCTCCTGTGGGGCAGATGGGGTCCGTCAGGGAACGGGCTTCCTTCAGAGTGTGCTTGATCTCCATCACCTGCTTCCCAGTGACCACGGGATCCCGGCCAAGGTCTGGAGGAGACATTTTAGAGGCACAAGTGTCACTCCAGGTTCCTTATTTACCATCTTGCCTTTCAGAGCCTACATCAACATACTGGTCCATGCTGCCAGGTCACTGAAACCTTGCATGGAGTACAGCCTGCATCTTCATTTCTGGAGAGGAAGAATGGGGTGCTGATCTTCCCTCTCTCCCTTGCTAGGATTTGGATTCTGCCAATATTTTTTCTCATCCCTGCTAGGGAAATACATTTCCAGCTCGGGTACAAACCACTCCTTTACCTTCTAATACATCCTCCAGCATGTGTGTAACTTTCTTCTCCTGCAAAATATGTTTCTTCAAATATTTCATGAAGATCCCAGAGCTGAACTGCCCATCCTGCAACTCATAGGCTTCTGCATCTTCGCTCCTGCAAGGGGAATGACTTGTCTTTACCTTTCTGAGATGGGAGGAAGTCCTGGGGGTGATTCAGGGCTTGCTGACTCTATTCAGGCTGTGCCAGCAGAGCGTGAATTAGCCTCTCATGCAATGGTGCAAAGTGCTTGATATTAGCTCAGAAGGTGAGAAGGGAATAGGATGGGAAAAAAGTAGAGAAAGGGGTCAGAGGAAGAGAGCACTGCCTCTTTTGCCAGCCTCAGTGGGCGACAGCAGCTGAACAGCCTATAGAACTAGAGTTGGAGCAGTAAGCTCATCTTCATCTCAGGAGGTTCCAGATGTCATGCTTGTGGCACACATACGTTGGGAATCAGGTTCAGGCCTGGGAAAGGAGATGACAGGACAGGAGCTGATGTCATCTTCACAAGTACCCTATAACTGATGAACAGCTGCCACTGGCAATATTAGGAGGAAGAAAAGAAGTGTCTGAATGGGAAATACTAGAGATAAAAGGGTGAGAGATGGAGGAAAAATGAAGGAAACATGAGAAAGGCATTCTGAAGCCTCTGAAAGTCTGCAAGAATGAAACTATGGAAATAGCCAGTATTTTTTCCTGTGTCATAGTGTGGGCACAGCAAAGCACACTTACGTGGCATAGCCATAAACAGTATTGCCCCAGGGCTCCAGCGGCTGTACCTGGGAGAGGGCACACTCTGGGTTGTACCTGTAAGAGGAGATGAAGATACCAGTCAGTACTGAGAGCATTTATCAGAGCATGCCTGCAGTGCAGAGCCAGTGCGCTCCATGAAATTCACCTCCTGTGGATGAAAGTAAGAACAGCCTTCATATAAAAAATAAACGCTCGCGTTGTAGGGCAGCAACAGACTAAAGCTAGGAATCCCAAGAACACAAAACCAGGGAGAAATGAGCAGTTAGGGCCACCTCTGACCTATTTGCATCAGTGGTCTGCTCTACGCAGCATATGAACCTGGAGCTGTGGGTGCAACCTTGCCTCCCCTCTCCTGAGGCTAATTTTTCACAAATTCAAGGGACTTGGAGGTGCGCACAGAAGCACAGCTTGTGGCTACAGTTTGTCTGCCTGTCCCAAAGCTCTGGGGTGCCCCACAGCTCTCTTTTAGCCCATGGACGTACCTTGTGCCCCAGGAAATCAAAGCTGACACATGGCCAGATGGGATCAGTATATGCAATTACATCTCAGAGATCAATATTGGTTTTGACACCCTTGTCTAAATCTAGCTCAGTGAGCACCTAGATGGTGACCTGTTATTTCCAAGGTTGGGTGTATCAGGAGTGACAGTCCTGGTTTCCACTAAAGCAGATGTCATGGTAACATTAATGACAAGCCTTGCCTAGGAGCAAATCCGACTCCGGACAGACCAGAGAACATGGGGACTGGTTGCCTCTGAGGTAGGAGACCTACACCAGTAATATGAATATGTTTCTGATCGCAAACAGAAAAGAGCACAGAGATGGTGTTACTCAGTGCTATTCAATTCTAGAATAGCTTGCTGGAACTGAAGTTGGCACACTAAGAAGAGCAGAAGGGATCACTGCATTGCCAGCACCCAGAAAGTTACCTACTACTGGTGCGACAGTCTGGAGAAGATGTTTAATGGCAGCATTAATCTGGCTTGTGTAAATTTTCTAAAGATCATGAGAAGAGAAAATGTTGGAAAGGAGACATGCATCTAAATATGAACAGTGCACAGAGAGATTTATCTGCCCCTTAGATGTTCCTAAATGAATGTAGAAATCTGGGATTCCAGGTCCAAGAAGAAATGAAAGCTCAGATCCCCAAATAAGCTGAGGTACTGTTGTCTGCACGCCAGAAACAGTGATCTGAGGCTGCACAGACCACCCTTTGCTGGTGCAAACCTTTTGTGATGGCACCAGTAAAGCCATCATGCATGCAGTGAAAATACTGGCCGCAGTCCCTGCCCTAGAAGAAGACAAAGTTCAGCAAGGCGTTTCCAGACCACGACCAAAGGCAGGGAGATGTCTGATATCAGAGAGCGTGGCAAAGCTCCAGTAAAGGTTCATTCATACTGCATTCAGACTGAATTAATGCAATTCAGTTCTCATCTACATCCCAGACAGAAGATGGTGTCCTTTTCCTGCCCTAAGCAGCACAACCAGAAGCCCTCATAAATCAGGAATTCCTGGAAGAGGCAATCGCATCCTCCCAAAATCAGCACATGAATTACTGGGTTACACGCGAGCTCCATGTCCCTGATTCCTCCTGTGCTGAAGCTGAACATCTGCTACCACTTGGCAAAGGAGCCAGGCCTTTCTCATCTCCTTGGTATTTCTGATGCCAACATATGGGGCGAAGAGATACTTGGTGTGAAATCCTCCTCAGCACACACTGCTCCTCCTGGTCCATGCACGGCTGGGCAAGCCATGGAAAAGCAACAGCCATCTGCAATTCACAACAGCAATTTAACAAAAAGGGCATTAGGAAAGGAGGCCCCAGGAGTCCTGTTTTACTGCGTGTTGTGAACACACACAACTATGAAATCCAAAGGCTTTGCTGAGCTGAAGCAGTGACTTCTTGAGAAAAACAAGCCCAAGCAGGGAGCTTCCACAGCCATCCGCTGTGTGCCCAGTGATAACACCTACTGCACCAAGTGCTGTGCTTGCTGTGGGAAAGGGGAGGGAAAAAGTGTGAGACTGGGGGAGGAAGAGAGAAGAACAGCCACATAACATCAGAGCAGTTCTCACATCACACCCTGCTCCCAAAGTGCAGTAAAATTCACTGAGCAGATAAATGGCCAGCAACATCAAGGAAGGAGGTATCAGCTCCAAACCATTTCATAGATTGTCGCTGTTCATGTTAGAATTCCCAGGGAGCCTCCATGTAGCAAAGCTGCCTCCCCATCACATTCTGCCCTGCTATTTTCAGGTGCAACATCTGACATCTGGACAAGTTCCTGGGCTAACCTCTGCCACCAGATCTGGCAGGAACCGTGCTGATGATTCAGCAGCTCTGCTCAGCAAGGGCTCTCAGCAGCCTTGGGACAGGGAACCAAAGCTCTCTCCTCCATGCAGCAGCAGTGAGCTGCACAGTGATGTTTTGCTACGAGGCATTTGGGGCAGGTATCAAAGGACAGCAAGCTCCATCACTGTTGACAGTTCAGAGCTGCAGAAGGCAGGGTAACTCTCAGTGCAACTTAGAATAGCTTGTAAGCTATTCAAAGCTAGTGTTCCCACCTCTGCAGCTAAAAGATACCAAAGAGTCTTTGATGGGCCTGACACTTCTTTCAAGGCAGCGGTATCAAAAGTTGTCCTTCCATTGCTCAGTGCAGAACCACAGAAAGAAGAGGGAAAATTTTCTTCCTTCAGCCTCCAGATTCTTCCTGTCCTGTAAGGAGGATAGGAAGCCCCTCTCACGAGCCCCAAATAAATGAAACAGTGACAACTTCTACTGGATAAGCCTAACTGCATCTACTGAAACTGGGCAACTAGTAATTTTCTGCAGCTCACAAGCTTGCAGGATGGAAATCTGCAGGTCAAGGGAGAATGATGGGCTTTCCAAACTGAGAGAGGAACAGCTGATCCTGCCCTCAGCAGCAGCCTTGGTCCCACTTCACAGTGTAACTTCAGAAGCCTTTAGGGAAGTAAAACCAAGTAGCATAACTTGAAATATTTTTCCTGTCGTGTTGCACTCTTCTCACTGGGATGGAAACAAAAACACAGACAACACTCCAGGCGACCTGCTCAAATAGCCTGCATTTGGCAGGCATTTTCATCACCCTTCTCCCTAGCACATCTCAGGCAAGATCTGATGCTTACAGCGCTGTATCTAACACGTGACCAACTGGGCTTCCCAGGACATCCTGCAAAACCTGACAGCCTTGCTGATTTCATGACACAGACGTATAACCTTTCACAGAGACCTTGCCAGTGCAACAGTGGATGTGCTCTTGAAAATCCAGAAGAACGTCTCACGTAGCTGTGCAGGAACCCATTGCTGAAGGGAGGATGAAGCTGGCAGCTGTTTCCCCAACCCCTTGAAATGCCATGCACTGCCTGTCCCAGTGAGGAAGAGGAAAGAGCACCCTACCATTTCCTGCAGGTGTCCAGCAGGATCAGGTTCAAGGCTGTCTGCTGCTGCTGCATCTTCTGAAGGATCCTCTGCACGCTGATGCAGTTCTCAGGGGCATACAGTTGTGGAGCATCAACAGGGACCATGTAGTTCCTCCCCAGGTGTTCATACCCGTGCCCGGCATAGTAGAATATAGCTGGGAACATGGAGAAGAGAAGATGAGTCATGATGCAAGCTTGCAGGTCTGCAGCCAGCTCTCCATAGCCATCTCCCACCTCCTGCCATGTAGGGGTACTGGCTTGGGACACTTACACTAGGAGCCCTTCCAGGCAGACAAGTTGAGCTACCCTGACCTCAAAGACCTGACTTTCTTCAAATCCATGCCCTTCAGTGGAGCAGCCCTGAGAGGCTCTCTTGTATATGTGGTTTCCAGCAGCTCTTTAAGAGACACCAAAGTCACCAAGGTTTATACATTCGCTAACCCGTAATCATTTGTTCAACAACATCCAGGCTTGGCATCTGCCAGGCTGAATATCACCTTTGAACAAGTATTTGGCAAAAAAAAAAAGATCTCTTTGCAAGAACGTGACAATAGACAAAGCATTTCACTCTGACCAACAATACTTTAATAACCTTTTAAAGAAGAAGCTTCTCAGCTACCTAGCTCAGGACAGACTCACAGAGGCTCAGATGATGGGAAATACTCTTTGGATTTCAAAGGTCTGCTAGTATTTATACATCTATGAGACAGTGAAAAATGAGACTGAGAAAAACAGAGAGAGATGAGAGATGTCCAGAACATGTGGACCATGTGCTTCAAAACCTCCAAACAGATACCAGCCCTGTAAGGGGGGAGAAGAGACAGATTCATCCAGGTGTCGGTGGCAAGTCCAACGTCAATTTGGTTTAGGAGCACAAGAAACTTAACAGTGGTTTCTAACTTTACAAGAGACAGCAACATGGGAACATCCATGCTGGAAAGCCAGCACAGACGAGCACGGCAAAGCTAGTGCTTCTCCAACCCTATACACGTGTTCAGTGAAGGGCTCTCCTTCCACACAAGAATCCCTAGGTGGGCTGTAGCTTTCCAAAAACAAGCTGTGAGTTGGTTTCCCAGCACTGACAGAACTGCTTGGGGAATGCTGCTGAAAGACAACTTGAGGAACTGAAATCTGTTAAAAATAGCTTTGTGAGGTGATGCAAGCAGTTGCACTACTGCAATTAAGGTATAGAGAAGAATGAGAGGTCAGAAATGAGAACAAAAGGCTATAAGGCAAAAGTAGAAGAAATTCTTAAGTCAGATTCCCTGCCAAAGCCCATGCTTCACTAAATAATCTCTCCTTTATTTTCTTCACTCTTCCTGGCCCTTCAGTTTGCAAGAAACTCACTTTGATCTCTGCTGCTGGAAGGGATGCAGTGAATGGGACAGGATCTGAAGGACTGAAAGCATGACCTCATCCCATGGAGTGAAACCATGACCTCATAGTAAATGAGGCCTAAAGTCATCTTCAGTTTCCGTTCTCAGGGGACAATGGAAAGTTACTCAAATGGCTGTTTTCACGGGTGCCCACGACGTTTGGGTTCCTCTTCTTAGGGATCAACAGCCAGAAACAGAGGGCTCAGATTTGCACAAGTTTAAAACTTTCATAACTAGCAAATCAAAGCCACAAAAGCTCTGAAAATATAAGAGTATAACATGGGAAGAATTGTGGAAAAATCAGATAAGCTCTTTCAAGTTTGGACCCTAAAGTAGTCAAGCATTTCTGGCTTTTGTCTCTCTGACACCATTTCTGTACTTCTAATGGAGTTGATGACATCCTATGCCTAACAACATCACTGACACTTGGAAAGAACTGAAGTGTGACAGCAAAACCCACAGAGAATCATAAAGTTATCAAATCTCCTAACTTTGGAGGCCTTGCTTTGCACCTTTGAATGCTCCCTGCGCTATTTAAGCCCAGTGACTGGAGTTCAAACAGAAAGACAGGAACTTCACAAGAGCTGAACAACTTCACTGCAAATCTCTTCTGGACCGAATTGCTCTTCCTGAACAGGAATGTCAACATTTTGCCCAGAGGGGAAAAGGCATTTTGGTTTTTTTTTTCCGAGTTACATTTCAACACTCTGCCCACATCTTATGAGTCAAAAACTGCTGATCAGAGACAAGCTTCCGAGTACCAAATTAAAAAGGGGAAGCTCCAGGCACTGCTTATAACACAGGAAATGTCAACATGCAGCTTAATTAACCCATGACAGCATGTTCCTCCTATTTCCCTTGTAAGCTTTTGCTTTTGTTGCATTTCCGACATTTTTGACTCGGGACTTTTTAGGACACTTGAAATAACAGCTGGGGAGATTTCTTGTTTGTCTGAGGGCTGTATAATTAGATTGTTCAGAGGATGTTTGGGTCCTTCAAAATGCACTGTACCTTTTGTAAGAAGAGAGCTGGAGAAAAAACAGATGAGCCACTGCAGTGAATCACAGAAGCCCTTGGATCACCTCAAACATCCAGGCACGCAATACCATTCTGCCTGAAATTAAACCTTGTTTTTTTTGCTCTGGGCTTGAGTAACCTGTGATGAGGTTGAATAAGAAAAAGCACGAAGTCCTGCACTCAGACAGGTTAACACCAGGCAACATTTTGTCTGGGGTTTAGCTCTGGTTGAACAGTGATGCTAGAGGTAAGGAAAACACAGCAGCAACCCCCTAAAGATGAACCAACACCTGGTAACAGAGCTACCTTAAGAGGCACCTTAGGGACTGGCAGAGGAAGGGAAGTTGTCAGCACCACCATTGACCTTAAGGAGACCCCACTTATGTCCTACGTCCAGTTTTAGGGACTTCAGTTCAAGAAGCAAGAAAAAGGCCAGTAGAAACTATTCAGTTATTGGGCTCCAGGGCCTGGAAGAAGGGGCTGGGCTAGGCAGGTGAAGGGGGACGGGGTCTAATAACAGCCTACAGCTGCTGGAAGGGCAATTAGGCAATTAATGAGACAACAAAGCCCAACTCTCTTCATCAGCAAAGGCCATAAAACATGGGGCAACATGCTGCTGTCTCACCATCATCTGTGTGAGCTATGTCAAAACTGTCTCTCTCAGTCAGCTTTAGGTGTTTATCCAGGAGCTACTGCCTTGAAAAAGAGTGATATACAGTGTTTAGAAGGAGTTGCTGGCTTCCTCTAAACATGTATTTCTAATAAAAAGACAAGTTAATTTCAAGGATGTGTGCTTCACCTATTTCTTTCAATCTTATGCAAAGAAAACAAGTGAAAAAATGCAAGAAGATGGATCAGTGAGAGGCAGCATCATTCAGAAGACCTGGGGCAATCAGTAGGCAGACAGACCCAACACTCCACCCTAAGTCTGGATGCCACCCAATTACAGCAAACATCTTCCACTTGATCACAGTGTGGGAACTGGCCTATGCCAAGGTTCACTGCCTCCGAATAACAGACTGCTCAGCTTAGAAAGCTGTAAAGAAAACCACTATTTGAGGCAGGCTATGCCAAGCAAACACTTGAGGCTTATCAGGGTTCAGTAGCTCAGCTGTTTATGTTTTCCTTGCCAGTGCACATAATCAATTTTGCCAGGAAGGATCAATGGCCACAAAAGCAGAAAAGTACTGGAAGTTTAAATAAGGCATGACAGCATGAATGGTTTCCCATTTCCCAATCTTTTTCCTCTCCACTGCTTATGAAAACAGGGGAATTACCATGGAAAAAAACCCCATTTGGTCTTCAGACACTACACATACAAGGCAGGAGCGGCAGTGCCTTACACAGACGTGGAAAAAGCACAGCATCTCCCCAGGGAATACTCTGGCTCAGGAGAGGAGACAAAACCTGAGACACAAGGGGATTTCAGAGAGCAACCAGAAAAGGAATCTGCAAGTGAAGTCACAGGACTACGCTGCTGTCAGATGACATAGGGCTGGAGCAGCAACCTCTGCCTGCTGCCTTTCTCTGCCAACTCAGCCTCCCTGGGTGAGTCAGTGCCTCTGGGAATGAAGGAGCTTTGCAGTGTTTCACTCGGGGCCTCATCTCTATCCATTACACAACTCCTAACCTCACAGCAAGCACTGAAATTGGCCCTGTGCTGACTTTTGCTGCTTCAATCCCTTGGTACACCAGTGAGCTGAGAGGGTGCTGAAGATAAGCACTGCTCAAAGCAGGTTGTGCCTCATGCTGATGTTTCAAAGCATAAAAAAAAGCCTACCAAAACCCAGCAAACATCTGCCAGGTGTTTTTGGAGTATCCATCATGCTGGACGAATCTCAGAAATCCCAAAGAAGCTACTTTCATCACAAAAATCTGAACACCTGCTTTAAGACCCACAAGATCGGTTTTGTGTTTACGGAACACTTCCCCAGGAAGTTAAACCACAAAAGCCACCTGTCTGCAGCTGGGAATATGTGCTTCTGCAAAAAGCCTGTCATCAGGACTGAGAAATAAGGAAATTTTGGCCAACTGCAGCCAATTAGAGATCAAAAGGAGCTTCTGGCCCGACAAAGGAGTGTGTGGGGCAATCCACAACCAACCTCCTAAATTCTGTCATCTAAGAAAAAATGTAAACACCCTCTCCCACTCACCATCAGAAGCACTGGCTTCCCAAAACCCAAGCACAAAACCATGCTAATCGAGTCAGAGGTTAGCCACATGATGGAGAAAAACCTATTTTGCCTGCATGTAACCTGGCCCAAATTGAATGGTGTTTACCTGGGATTTCTGCCAAGCCTGGCACCACTGCAGACTGTGCTGCAGGGATACCCTAACCCACATGAAGAAAAGTGGGTTAGCAGAGCCCCTAATTTATTTATTATTGTTATTTTAATACAATAGCTGTTAGGGAAATTGCCAAATCTCTGCTCCTCCCTTTCTCTGACTGCTGCCACCTGTATGTAAACTGCTGCCTTACCATAGACTCCTTTCTCCAGGAGCTGTAGGAACCGACTGACTGCTGCCACCATCTCAGCCTTGTTTAGATCCAGGAGAGAGACAACTTGGAAGCCCAGCTGCTTCAGAAGAAGACTCAGCTCAAACACATCCGTGACGGGAGCCATCAGGTTTGGATGATGCTGGTAATGGTTGTTGCCCACTAAAAGGGCTAGCTTGCCTGTAGCTAACAGAAACAAGTGACAAAGTTGTAAGTGCTCAGCAGGTAGCAAGGTCTAACTTCCTTTGGTTGGCACGAGGACAGGGGAAATCCTTTCTCACTTTTAGGAAGGAAGGTTAGACATGTCACAAGCCTGCAGTGCCCTCCAGAAAGCCCTCAGCTTTTTCAACATTTGAATAAAACACACAAGGCATCGTTCTGAAAGAAAAACCTGGAAAGTTTCCACCTGGGAAGCAAAACTCCAGGAGCAGCAGAGGATCAGTGCTACTGAGGATTTCTGGCACAGGTCCTTTCATGTCTGTCTCGCATACTGGTGGTGCCTGGGAGGGGAAAGCTCTGAGCTATCTTCAGAAGTAACTTTCCCCAAGGGAGAAAGGAAAGAAACTCCATCTCCTGCTTTCATTTTAACCCCCAGATATCCCTGCGGGAAAATCAGATTCATGGGTTTCAGTAGCTGTGGGAGCAAGGAGCTTTGCTCTAGTCCAAGGAGGTATTTCAAAGAAGGAAAAGGTGCTGTGCAAAGCAGATTTCATTGACATTTGGCAGGCGTGGAGGCCAAGGTTGGGTTACTCATTAGGAATAACCTTTCTCCACATGGTGAGACAGACAAGGTCTTGGCAGAGGACAAGACTCATCCTGTGCCCTACAGATCCGATCCAGAAAGCAAAGAGCCTGTGGCAGCAGCATTGTCATAAAAGCTTGAAATGGCCTGGGCAGGAAAAACACATCAACACCTTCCCCTCCTATCTATTCTGGAGCTTGACTTTTAATTAAGGGAATAATTTCTCAAGAAAAGATAGTACTCACCAAATAACTTCCCAGAGTGACAGGTATCTGGAAAAGAAAGAGGGGAAGATAAGTCTGTGCCCAGCATGCAGCATCCCTGCGCCAGCTCCCATGGCAGGTCTGGAACCTGTTTCCATGGCCTCTGGCAATGCAAAGCTGGATCACACAGTGCATCTGCATCCCTGCTGCAACTGCAGAAGTAAAACAGGCTGCTCCTCAAGCACGTTTTTTGCCACTTCCTTGTTAACCCCACAGTCTGCTCATTTGAGGAGTCTGTTTGCGTGGGATTTATCTGAAATCCCATTTTGGCAGCAAAGGGGAACAGCAAGTGGTTGGGGATGAAGGTCAGGGCATGCTGGAGTGACTGTGTGCAAGCAGCTGGGAAACAGAGCTGGGAGAAACTCAGTCAACATAAGCTTCAAAATAGAGAGCTACTCCCTTGAGCAGGAAGGAAGCCAACTGTTTGCTCTTGGTGGTGATAATATTCCCAGCACCTACAACACCCTAGTTTGCTTTCTTCTCAATTCCAGCTCAGGAAGGCCACCTCAAACATGGAGTTCACATCCGTGAAGTCCATTAGCTGCCCTGCTGAAGAGCAGCAGGGCATCCATGCAGGAATCCCACCCCTGAGCATTCCCAGCATGAAGCCCCTGAAAATCATCATTACCACGACAGATATAGATTTTCCTACTATAAAAACCAATCCAGCCCAGTGAAAAGCCTGAAACTCTACAGGCTTCATATGAGAAAAAGAGTAAGGACATATTTTAATTGTGTAAATCTTACAGGTCTGGAAGACCTTTAGCGTCTGAATACACAGTAATGACTGTACTGCTAATTAAAGAATCATAGAATTATGGTTGAAATAAGAAATTAGAAATAAGGTTGGAAAAGACAATCAACACCACGGCCACTAAACCAAGTCCCTCAATGCCACATCTCCACAGTTCCTGAACACCTCCAGGGATGGTGACTCCACCACTTCCCTGGGCAGCATGTTCAGAGAAGAAATATTTCCCAATACCCAACGTGAGCCTTCCCTGCTGTAATTTAATGCTATTACCTATCATCCTATCGCTGCTACCCAGGAAAAGAGGCTGATCCCCACCTTGCCACAACCTCCTCTCAGGCTGTTGTAGGGAGTGATAAGGTCTCCCCTGAGCCTCCTCCTCTCCAGACACCTGTTCCACTGTCCTCCTCTGGACACGCTTCAGGACCTCGATGTCTTTCTGGCAGTAAGGTGCCCAAATATGAACACTGGAGATGCAGCCTCATCAGTGCCAAATGCAGAGGGACAATCACCTCCTTGTTCCTTGGGCTGTGCTATTTCTGATACAAGCCAAGACGCCATTTGCCTTCTTGCCCACCTGGGCACTCCACTGGCACATGTTCACATGGCTCTTGACTAACACCCCCAGATCCTTTTTCTCTGCACAGCTTGCCAGCCACTCTGCCCCAAGCCTGTAGCAATGCACGGGCTTGTGACCAAAATGCAGGATCTGGTATGTGGTCTTGTTAAATTTCATCCCATTGGCCTCAGACCCTCAATGCAGTTTGTCCAGATCCCTCTGTAGGGCCTTCCTGCCCTCACACCCATCGACACTTTCTCCCAATTTGGATGACCACACTTGCATTCAGTCCCAAACATGCTGAGTGACCACGTTCAATATGATCTGCTCCATGACCTCCCCCAGACTGAGGTTAGGCTGATAGGCCTACAATTTCCCAAATCCTCTTTCCAACCCATTTAGTAGATGGGAGTCACACTGGCAGTATCCTGTCTCCTGGGAGCTCCCCCGTTGACCAGGATTGCTGAGAGACAGTCCAAAGCAGCTTTATAAGCACTTCCAACAGCTCCTTCAGCACCCTCAGGTGGATCCCATCCAGCCCCATTCCTGACAATCTAGGTGCTGCAGCTCCAGGAATGCCTGGAAAGCCACCAGAACAAACCTGTTTGTGCTTTTCCTGCCTCTGACAGAGCTGCTTGTCTCATTTTAAAGCTATCCAGCCATAACATTTGGAAACCAACCCAGTCTGTTCATGCTGTCTGTTACTCCCAGGCACTGCTTTGCAAGTTGCAATGAGGCAAGGAGAGTACACAGGACTCTCAGATTATAGAGATCCAATTTGCACCCTGGAGAGATTTTAATGCCAGTGAAAAACATTAGATGAAAAGCTTATGGCATAGAAAATTCTCTAGGTGGAGTAAAGAGTCCACAAAGCTACACTTGTCTCACAGCACTGCAAAGGCACGCAGCCAAAGTAGCTGTCACATCAGAGGCAGAGCATGCCCAAGGCTCCCGGGATCCATCTTCTCCCCAGGATCCATCAGGTTGCACAGCACACTCAGCATCAGCCCTGGGCTGCCAGCCCGATGGACCTGAACCTCCCAAAATAAACACCATCCTCTCCAGCACGATACATCTGAGCATCTGACCACATCACTTCAACTCGGTGAGGCTGTAAATTCACCTTAATGAAGGACCCTGCTACATCTTGTTGGGGAACCTATTAAATCAGTAACTTGACAGGGCAAGAAAGGCTGCAATGAGCACCTGAGAGCACAGCCTAATGCAGCAGGTTTCCTACAGACTGCAGGACACAGTAGCACTCCAAGCTGCACCACAGTCTGGTGGGCAGACTGCTGGGTTTTTTTTTCCTTTTGCAGATGCCGCTTCCCTCACTATTTTTGAACTCTGTTATCAAGGAATCACATTTATCATGGTGCTGCCTGATGCCTGTGTCCCCAGCTCAGGGGTACACGTGCAGCTCTGCTGAGATCATCCAGTATATCCAGGGTGTGAATTAGTGCTCTGAAAGCTGTTCCCACGACAGCTGCTGCAGGACTGCCAGGACACTCCTACATCTCTTAGAGCTCTGCTCCACTCTCACATTCGGCTCCCTGCAGAAGCAGTCCTTAAAAGCAATGGCTTTCTTTTTTTCTTGTTACTAAGTCTGTTCAAGCTGGGGAGGGCTATGCGTTCTAGCTCTTCCAATCCCACAACCCTGAGCCCAGTTTCCCCTTCACAAACTGAGCCCTAGGATAACATCTCAGCACTTCATCTACCAGCTTGGTATCTCCATGCAAGTTCACTAAAATTGTCTAATTCTCTTTCACACCAGAAGACGATTTGCTGCAAAGCAAACGTGGTTTAGGTCTGCTCACCTATGTGAATGTCCACTGCGTTGGTCCAGTGCTCTCCATGGCTGTTGGAAGCACAGCAGAGATACGTGCCAGAGTCGCTGACTTTGGTGTGGCTGATCTAGACAGATCAAAAGTTAAATTACATTATTTATGGTGACAGTCTTCTTCTAAAGAGCAAAAGTGCTCTGCCCAAATGCTCTCCTTTCTTTATCCACCAGCCCTGAAACTGTGTCACAGCCATACTCTGCCCTAGAAGCTACACAAGCAGGACAGCACGTGGCCAACACCAGAAGGTTCCCAATTTTCCTCCTGGATGACATTTTCTAGATTTCTATCATGTAGTATGTTTCCCACCTGTATCCAACCCTCCTGAAGGAGCTTAAGAACCCCAGCAGTGCTGGCTTGCAAAAACTTCTGTGGTTCTCCAGCCCAGACTCCTACTCAGAGAGGAACTAAAGCCACAACTGTGTCAAGTCAGCTGCAGCTGTCAAGACAAGTCTTGAAAATCTCTGATAACAGAGATCTCACTGCCTCTCTGGGTACGTACTCCACAGCTGCACCATCCACCCGCAAAGGAAGAACCTTTTCCTAGTCATCAGGCTGGGAAAAGAGCTGTTTGAGACCATGGTCCCTCATAACACCATCTGAGAAGAGCTTGGCTCTCTTGCCCTTATTGCCCTTCAAGTGATATCCCAGGAAGAAATCTGCCTTTCTTGCAACAAGAAGACAGTGCTGACTTGCACTCAGCCAATGAACCACCATAAAATCAGACCTTTTGCTGACTCCATGACTCTCTCCTGCTGTGAATAACTGCTTTTCCTTCTAGCTTTCCTGCAGGCACACACCATTCCCACAGCTTCATCACTCCACAACACCTTGCACATTTATACAATAGTTCTTCTTGTGCTGCTACAAGAAGGTATGAGAGGCCTGCTGAGAGCCCTTAATGCTGGCACGTCTGTGAATCTCTTATTTCCTAGAGAAACATCCACAGCTTTTAAAGAAGCCCATAAAATGTATTCCCTCTTCAACCCCAGTTCTTCAGTCAGGGCTATCAAAGCAACAGGGGGGATCTGTGCAGTGCAGGGAAATGTCTGAGCACAATGCTCTTCCTCCAGGGCTGAAGAGAGGGGAAGACAGGCAAGGAGAGACAGCTTTCTGCTGGCATTCACCTGATCATGCAGATCAAAGCATTCCTGAGCCTCTGCACACAGATAAGAGCTAGACTGAAGGACTGTGTCATCCTCACATTGAGGATGACAACAGCATAAAATTTTCAGCAGTCTGTCCGAGGCTTCTGAAGCTCTCCCATGCACATCATCCCATTGGGCTTCTCTCATCACCCACCTCAGTAGCCAAAGTTTCTGAACCATCCCGAGGTAATGTTACCCAGAGTTTTTTTTTCTTCTGGTGTTCCAGCAGGTTCCCGTTTCGGTACCACTGGTAGCTGGGGGCTGGGACCCCAACGGCAGCACACTGCAGCTGTAGTGGTTTCCCAACTTCCACCTTCTGCTCAGTAGGGTTGAGGATGATGACTGGTTCTCCTTGCCAGAGCTGAGGGAGCAGTTCTGTGAAGCAGAGGCAAGGAATTAGTACTCCCTTTGTGAGGACAGAAAACAATATTTGTTTTTTTTCTGTGCAGTCCATGTGCTTTGACAGAGAAGTAAACTTTTTCCACCCGCACCAGGAGATGCCATTCCACAGGATGGCTGTGCTCACAGTGTCACCAATACATCTTTCTGCCCCAGGAGCAGAGAATCCTTGAGAGCAATACATGACAGCATATGACACAACAAAGCACTGCCTCTTGCTTCCCGGTCCCAAAGGTGCCTCGACTCCTGTCGATGCTCACTCTTTCCTGCTAAGGGTGCAGCCAACATGCTGAGGTCAGGCACACCCTAAGTTACTTTGCCCAGCTTTGAAATAGCCAGACTGCCTCATCCAGTCCCTCTGCCCTATGCAAACACCTAGCAGCAAACACCCAGTATAACTTCCCTCCAGTAAACCCATGGTGAGTAGTCAGCAGGGCAAGCTGGGGTTACCAGGATCATGACAGGGACCTGAAATACCTGGAGCACAGTCACAGTGGTTTTGCTTAGATCCACATCACTGGAGCAGTTCTCCTATATAATGACTTGAGCTCGGAGGACACAATGCCCCAGAAACCACAAAGGACCACTGCTGTGATATCCAGCAATGTCTGTGCAAAGCAGAGAACAGAGCAAAGCTAGAAGACATGTTTGTACCTCTGGCAATGCGTGGATGAACCTCCACCTTCACCCAGTCAGAGAAGATCACATTTCTGTAGAGGTCGTTAATTCTGCAAGTGTAGAGTTGGGTCTGCTGTGCAGTGATGGGCAAGTCTTGCTTGGTGGCACCAGGAATCTGGTAGCGGACAGACTACAGAGAAAACACAGGCAGTAGGCAGCAAGTTCCCCCATCACTGCTGGTAGCAGAAGGCACCAGCAAGCCCCTTTAAAGGCAGGACAAGCTGGAATCCCTGGTTGTGTCACCTCCTCACAAGGACATGGGGAGAAAGAACCAGTGGAAACCCTTGGCAAGCACATCTGTACTACCACATCTCCTCTATTCTCTTCCAGCCTCCCGCTGCCCACCTGCACTGCTAACAGAGGGCCAACTCACCTCACTGCAGGGCATGGAGCTGGCCCAATGCAATGAGGAAAGTCACCCTTGCTCACAACATTACCTGGCACTGACAAAACCACTGGTACTGCAGTGAGGTGTGGGCCTCGGCTCTGCAGTGCAGAGCGAAGGAGTACCCAACAGGAACGGAGACAGAGACCGGCTGCTCGGTGATCACAATGGCTGTTGGGAAACAGGCGTGGGTTTGCAACACAAGCAAGGAGATGGACACTGCTGGGGTGGCACTGAACGGGTCACAAAATCATAGAACCATGCAGGTTGGAAAAGACCTCGAAGATCATCTGGTCCAACCATCCACCTACCACCAATATCTCCCACTGAACCACGTCCCTAAGTACTACATCTCCATGGCTCTTGAGCACCTCCAGGGATGGTGACCCCACCACCTCCCCGGGCGGCCTGTTCCAATGCACCATTGCTCTTTCAGAGAATATGTTTTTCCTAATATCCAACCTGAACCTCCCCTGGTGGCCATCACCTCTCATCCTCTCACTTGGGAGCAGAGGCCAACCCCCCACCTCACCACAACCTCCCTTCAGGGAGTTACAGAGAGCAATGAGGTCTCCCCCGAGCCTCCTCCACACTGACCCATCCCAGCTCCCCATAACACTTGTGCTTCAGACCCCTCACAGCTTCGTCGCCCTTCCCTGGACACTCCGCAGGTCCTCGATGTCCTTCTGGCAGTGAGGTGACCAACACTGATCACAGCACTGGAGTACATCGGCACGAGCACACACATCCCCGCTCGGGTCGGGTCGCTCCTGCTCCTTCCGCGCATCACCGCCGCCGATGCGCCAGGCTCGCCTCCCGCACGGCCCACCGAGAGCCGCCGAGCAGCGAGAGCCGGACAAGCACCACGAGAGCCAAGCAGCCCGCCCCGGCTCACCTGTCTGCATCGCTCTACCGGCGCTCCGGCTGCCGTGCCTCGCTCGCCCCGGCCGCCCTCAGCCGGCGGCTCCCGGTCCCGCCGAGCACCTGCGGAGAAGAAAGCGGCGGCCGGGGATCGCGAGGAGCCCCCGGCCCGCCCAGGCCCCGGGCAGCGTGGCGGAGCCCGAGCCGCCCGCTCTCCCCGCTCCCTCGGCGGCCGCCCCTGGCCGGGCCGCGCCGCGTTGCGGGGCTCTCACCTGGCGGCGGCGGAGGCGGCCGCGGGCCGCCATGGTCGCCAACGGGGAGCCGCCGTCCTCGGGAGGCAGCGCCGGGCTCCGGCTCCCCGGGAGCCCGCGGGCCCTGCGGAGAGGCGGAGGCGCTCACCGGGGCTCGCCCGGCCGCGGGCCCCGAGCTCTTCCGGCTCGTCCCCGGGGCCGCTCGGACGTCTCCCCCTCGGGCCCGGGGACGGCTCCCGGACTCACCTGCCGTCGGCCCCGCCGCCCGGGGAAGGCCCCGCGGGCGCTCGGCGCCGCGCTTCCGTGCCGCCGGGCCCGCCCCGTCGCCCCGTTCCGAAAGCGAAACGGCGCGGCGACTCCGCCCGGGGCCGGGGCCGGCTGTGCGGCCGGGCAGGGCCTACTCCGCGGGGCTCCGGCGTGCCCGCGCCTGCCGCTGCCCTGAGCGTCCTCGGCCCCGTGCCCGCGGGTGTCCGTGACGCGGCCCGACGGCGGCCTCAGCCCTGTTCCCACGGCTGTTCCGAGCGCTGCCCCCGTGCTGTCCCTACCTCATCCTCTCAAGGGTCATTGCTCCATGCCCGCGGCTGTCCTCACGGTCGCCTCCATGGCTGTCCTCACCTCATCCCCACAGCCATCCTCACCCCTGTGCTCGTAAGCATCCTCACCGCTATCTCCATGGGTGTCCTCACCCCATCCCTGCACGTGTCCTCATTCTCATACCCACAGGAGTCCTGACCGGTGTCCCTGTGGGTACCCTCCCACATCCCCACAACCACCCTTGCTCTCATGCCCGTCCCCACAGCCACCCTCCTCCCCATCCCCACAGCCACCCTTCTCCCCACCCCTTCATTCCTCACCTTCAGCCTCATCGCTCACCTCTGTCAACAGGGCTGAAGCTCCAAGGCTCATGGTGGAGCCCCAGCTGTGTTGTCCCCTTTTCTTCAGCTGGGAGAAGTAAGGTGAGCCCCAGCCCGAGGTAATGACAACCTGTCAGGCTGCTTCTGCTGAGAAATCCCCTGCCAGCTGGGGCAGGCATCACGAGGGCTGCAGGGGAAGTGGCTCATGGCCAGCCCGCCCCAAGGTTGCACAAGCCCCTTTGGGATGGCAGAAGGGTGACAGCTGGGGACAGCCTGCTCTCACAGCCCAGCTGCTGGAGCAGCACCATAATCTCTGAACAGGCCCTAACTGCATGCTCCGAGTCATTTGATTTTCTACTCAAAGCCCAAACTTAACCTTTGTGGTATGAACGAGAAGTGTGAAATCGCTCCCCTGGTTCCTGAAATCTCCCTCACCGGATGCGGAAATGGGTCTGAGGATTCATTAATAAGGCAGCCAATTGATTTAGGAGTTAATTTCAGAGAGGTCTTCTGGGACCAGAACACTTGTGCCTGTCGGATTTCTATCGCAAACAGTCCTTTATGCCAGGATGAGAGATCCTTTGAGCCTTTCTGGAGCTACAGCTTAATGAAATGAATTACGCTCGCGTGCAGGCTGTGATTTTAGAAACAACACAGCAGTGAATGTGAGGTTCATTATCGCTGCTCTGTGACTTCCATCTGCAGAGCACAAAAGGCAGAGCATCCTCTGCCACCAGCATCTCAGATGAGGCTGCAAGTGTGTCTGAGCAAATGAAACGATAAGAGTTCCCCAGCATAAATTTTATTTTGCTATGTGGCTCTATGGCACATCCACACCGGGGCTAGCTGCCCTTCCTTGTAGAAGGAATGATGGTGTTGGAGCAGGTACCCAAGGGACAAGGAAGACGATGTGAGATCTGCAGTGGCCTATATAAGAACAGACTCACTGAACCCATACTTATGACCTTTCAAAAGAGCAGACCAAGGGGAAAGGAGCAGAGGTCACAGCTGGTGGTCCACACAACTGGGAATGGAGAGAGCAGAAGGTGAAGAAGGAGTGACCATAATTCCCAAAGAGCCTTACGTTACTCTCTGAAGTGAGCAGGCAGGGAGCATGACACAAACCTGATAGGGCTGAAGCAGGTCTGGGCTTAGGATCAGCAGGGACAAATTTCCACTATTGTCTCTCCTTCCTCACGTACGGCAGTTACCTTCAGCATTGGCATGAAAGGATGCAGACAGCTCCAGATGGCAAAGAGAAGCAGTAACGGCTGAGAGAAAAGGAATGGACAGGAGATATGCAATGGTGCAAGGGGAACCACCTCCATATGCTTCCCCAGGCAAGGGACACTGCTGAGTCACGCCACAGGGCTGGCAGAACTCAGCAGCACTTAGTCCTCCACTCCCCAGTGCTTTTCTCTTACAAGTATGAGGGTGCAGACTGTAGAAAAAGCAGAAACCAGCACAGCTGATGGAGGACAGAGGAAGGATCATTTTCTCTGTGCAGAATGGGACAGTCATGCTCTGCTCCTGCAAAGGTGGCAATCTTTCACATGGCATTTGTGAGCAGAGGGGATTTGGGAAGAGGATACTCAGCACAGTCACAGGTCCCTTCTTTCTGCCCACCTGCCCAGCTGTCTCTAACAACACACAGACCCAGCACAGAATTCAGAGACCGTCCAGCCAAGCATTTTGAAATACACTCCTACATCCATAAATAAACATATTAATAGATTGCAAATGAAAGTCCTGTCTGAACGTTTTCCACATCATTCTGTCACATCTGTGATGTTGAGTAGATATAAATGTAGCGCGGGTAGATAATAAAAATGATCATTAAATTAACCCCAACACTTTCCAGAAGCTAAAGATGACACTTCTGCTTGATGCAGCATCTTTTCAATCAGCCATAGTCTGCTGCATTTCCATTATGTACCTTGTCAAAAGTCTGCTGTGCTTGTCCTCAGATCAATACAAGCTCTTCTACATGAACATGTGGCCAAGAGTATATTTTGTTTTGTTTTTTCTGCATGCCAGTGGTGTTTACTTGTTGACACTGCACTGGAGAGCAGGAAGAAGCTTGTTGTTTAGAAAGGGAGGGACTTGCATTTATGTATGCAGGATGGGAAAAGGAAGGGTTCTGTGAGAGGAGTGAGAAAACATCTGTGACTTGCTGTGAATCAGCGCTGGATTTGCAGGCAGAGGACGAAAGCTTTGCTAACAAGGATTGAAGCTTCGTGGCTGACTGGCTTAGACTTCAAAAACAAAATGGTGAGAGAGCAAGTTTCCAAATGCAGACAGAAGCAGAAGGCACTGTCACTCTGCAAACAGACGTGCTGTAAAAGAAAGCTCTGTCTCAGCAGGATAACTAGGCACAAGAACCAACTGAGAGCCTGAAAGGTCAGAAAAAAAGATGTTCACCATGTGCCTGAGGGAAGGCTCAAACACTACAGCAGGATTCACCCAATTGCGCTTGAGCTGGTAGGTGCTAAGCCTGCTCTTGCCATCCAGTTTTCCCTACAGTAGTGGGGAGAGAAGCAGAACCACAATGTGAATGGGGTGCGAAAGGAACCTCTGGAAATCTCTAGTTCAGACACCCAGTCCAGGCAGGATCTGAACCAGTTGCTCAGCTGCTTGTCCCATCCACATGAGGTAGTAAGCTGAAGAATACAAGATGTAAGGGGTCCATAACATCGCTTGGTTATGCTAACTCAAAAGAGGTCGTAAATAGCATCACTTAGTTCAACCTTTTGCTAACTCAAGGGAAATTTATTGCTTAGTCTAACCTTTTTGTCAGCCCAGGAATATTCGAAAAACGGAGCCCTCTCCAGACAGTAGAAGAGGGGCCCCTAAGAGAGTAATGAAAAAAGGGAAGATAAGCAGAATAGGGTATTGCTGAGGCATGCAGGGCATGAGAAGACCCCAGAACTGGGACAAAGGTCGGAAAGAAGTGGCGAGGGAGACGTCTGACTTCATCCCAAACGACCACCGAATGGGGAGGAAGACGTGGAGCCTTCATCCAATGGAAGCTACTGTGCATGCCCTCGGGAGGGGGAACAGTATGTAAATGAATTCCCGGAAAAGTAATAAATATGTCAGTGAGTCTTGGGTAATACTACTGAATATGTATGGCTTGGCTAATAAATGTAGCGAGACTCCATTCTCTGGTGTGCAAGCTAGGAGGTGTGATCCCCCTTGCACCCGGCGTGTGGCGCAGCGCTGAAATAAAGACGTACCTGCTCTTTTAACCTTACATGGGTTAGAGTTTGATTCCGCAAATCACACATGTAACGATCTCCACAGACGGAGACTGCCCACCTCCTGGTCTCTGTTGCACTGTTTGATCTCCCTGACAGGGCATTTTTTTCTCTCCTGACATCTGATCTGAATTTTCCTCACTGCAACTCGTCTTTGTTGCCTGTTACTCTGTGCCTCTGGGACGTGCTGGCTTTGTCTTGCTTGCACCCAGTGTACTGAACACAGCAAGAAGGTCTCTATTTAGTCCTGTTATAAAGATTAAAGGTAGTTCTCCCAGCATCTCCTTTTATGTCAGGTATGCCACAACAGGTCTCCCAGCATCCTGCCTCTCACACAGGGCAACGGCACAAGGCGTGAGATTGGAGCATGCACACAATGGGTATCCTTTTGCAGCTTGGAGGCTTCTTAAAGAAAAGCTAATATGTTTGTCCTGAGGAAGCCTCAACAAATTTTTCTTCCACTGATTTCTTCTGTTTTTTTTTTTTTTTTTTTTTTTTTTTTCCCAACTTCTGCTGACACACAATGAGTGGAATCAGCTTAATGAAAAGAGGCATGAGCAAGCATCTCTGTTTTACTGAGAGTACCATCTTCTAACCTCACGCAAAGCCCCTGGTATTATTTTGAAAGACACTCTTTCCCTGTCCCTCAGAGTGTATAACTCTGAGGGAAGTACTGAGGTGGAACCTTCAGTCTCTGAGACAGTCCTCCCCATATTTCCTAGTAGCAAATCCAGAGGTTCTATGAGTTCCATCTTTGCATTTGCCAAGACCAAGTATCCTCTCTGATGTCCCAGTTTCAGCTATTTGCTTGCTTGACAGTACAATCATCTGTGATAGTGACCTGCAAAAAGCAAATAAACTCCAATACCTACATGTGAAATGATGTAGGACCCCTTCCAAAACACTGTCCTGAGATCTGAGCTAAGATAAGCATTTCTATGGGACTTGAGTGGAAGAGCAGCAGGTCTGATCAGGATGCTGTCAAGCAACCTGATACATCCAAAGCTGGATTGCTTTGGACTAGTATAACTTTTGCAAGCATGAAAACCTAAGTTGTCAATCCATTGTACACTGACAAGCCAGCAGGATCCAAGAAGTTTTGTATGAAAGTAGAACAGACTTGGAGTCCTGGCTTTCATTTTAGTGCTGTCTACCAAGCCCCACTCTGTTGGACTGCATTCTGGATTCCCCACAGCCACTGTGTCCCTTTGCAACCTTCTCCCCAGCCTCATGCTCCACAGATTTCACTGACTTTCCCTCTATATGGGCTTGGGATTCTGCTGAGTTTGACAGCTTTCTTGGTGGACATCAGGTTCTGCTCATACAAATCTCCCCTTCCACTTGGTTTCCAAGGTTTGGTACACCCATGACAACTAGTAGCTGAGGTCTGGGCTGAGTTGTATCAGTTTGTATCTGCACGTCTGTGTTGTGGCCTTGTGCCCTGGTGTCTCCCAGCACTTTCACTGTTTTCTAGGTCTTTTCTGGGGCTCATGGCTGATTTAAGCCTGTTTACTTCTCTCTTTCTCATGCCACGCACACCAGTGCTGTATTTGTATCACAGACCTCTGGAGGAATAAGTCATCCATGGCATTCCAGCACAGGGCTACAGAGCAGGATCTTTTCAGCCCCAAGCAACCAGTCAGGAGCCTGGTTCCTCTCAGGGTTGTCACAGGGCAGCCACCTATCTCATGGACTGGAGGTGGCACCAAGTAAGCAGAGAGGTAGGAGACTCCTTATGGGATGCAAGGGAGAAATATACAGGCTCTGTGCAAAACTTTGTATGGGATGCCTAGGGAGGAACCAAAGGCTGGGGAAGGGAGATATCAGGATGGTCTGAGAAGGGACAAGTGTAGGAAAACACAGGGTAGTAAGAGGATAAAAGGAAGTGACTGCATCTAACCAGTGTGGTCATGCCACAGCAGTGCAGTGTAGCCTAG